CAAAAACAAACCACCCTTTGTTGTATACCACTAGAGGATGGTAAACTATAAAATTCAATATTGAAGGTAAACAAGATCCTCAATTTGTTTTCTTGGTACATTTGTAGAAAGCAGCTAGAACTTTCCCAAGCAGACAGTTGAAATGGGAAGTCACATAACTGCCTCTAAATGTGGTATAGGTAGTCAACTTCTCACACTAAACAACCACCATATATTGAAGGAAGTTACATAAGAAAACATTAAAGATTTATTGTCAATTTAGTTAACAACTATCACAATAAACACAGAAACTTTCGCAACCAGTGCGTGCTCTAATTGAAAAAAAGAAAAGAAAAAAAGTGGCGTCAAAGAAAATCATTGCAGTTGTGGGTGATATAATGGAAAATCACACATTAAGAAATACAGGTCTAGTATGGCCTGGTGGTTAGGACGCTCGACTCACAATTTGCGGATCGCGGATTCGAATCCTGCCACCAAACATTCTAGTCCTTTCAGCTGTGGGGGTGTTATAAAGTGACGGTCAATCCCGATATTCGTTTGTGAAAAAGTAACCCAGGAGTTGGCGGTGGGTTATGTTGACTAGCTGTTTTACCCATAGGGTGTTACTTCAAAAGTAGAGGGGCTAGTGGAAATAGTTCCCAAGTAGGTTGTTGTAAAGATAAAAGTTGCTGGAAAAGTTTAACTTTACTGTTTTGACCCGTGTTGTAGCTTTAAATTAATTTCACAAAATATAGCACCATTGTTGATAAACCCTTTGTTATTATGTTGATAAAGGCACTTTTTGATTTAAGTTTATGGCGTTTAGGATATCTAGAAAAACAAATTAAATGCGAAAAGCATCCAAACATTTCTGACCAGGTTTTTAGATTCATTGTATGTCTTACACTCACAAACTGTACGGTAAGCACAAGTAAAAATAGATTAGATCAATATAAAAATCAAGTTAGGTGCATGGTATAAAATTTTTGTTGTTGTTTAATTTCAGCTGGAAAATATAGTGATAAATTAAGAGAAGCTCAGGTGCTCATCAGTGATCAAAAGCAATGTAACAAGGACTACCAAGGTATCGTCAATCTTACCAAAGTGTACATGTGCGCTGGATACGATTTTGGAGGAATAGACGCTTGTTTGGTACCTTACTTAGTTATGAATATAAATTATTCTAGATAAAAAAAGTTTTAAGATGTTTTGTACATTTGATATAAAAACAACGACAGCTAAACAAAGCAATAATGATGATAATAAACTAATAAATGATATGATTTTTTTTTTCGTTATGTTTTGTTTCTAAGATTTGTTTAACTTTAATTAAACGAGTTAGTCTGAAAAAATATATGACCGAGTAACAAATAGAAAAGAAACATGATTATTACCAATTACTAATCAGCTATTTTTTTTTCCTAGGGTGATTCTGGAGGGCCGTTGATGCTACCTGCTGGAAAAGATAGTCTCTTTTATCTAGTTGGAATCGTGTCATTTGGAAAAAATTGTGCCAGTCCTAACTATCTAGGAGTTTACACGCGAATAACAGAGTTTTTAGACTGGATTAGAATTAATGCAACATAAATCCTTCGGTATCCTTGGGTCAGTGGTAAATTTACGGACTTACAAAAATAAAGTATAGGGTTCGAGTTCTGCAGTGGATAGAGTACAGATAGTTCATTGTGTAGCTTTGCACTAGTCCCCCCTCCCATCAGTGTCTCAGCGGTAAGTCTGCGGACTTATAAGGCTAAAACCGATGGTCGGCGCAGCACAGATAGCTCATTGAGTAGCTTTGTGTTTAACAAGAAACAAACAAACAAAGCTTTACACTAAGAAAACAACAACAACATAACACGGAAAAAGTTTGTTTGTTTCGGATACTCGCACAAAATTACACAAGGACCAGCCGTTCCTAATTTTGAACTGAGATACTAAAGGTATGACAACTAGTCAACAGCATCTACCGCCTACTCTTGTACCACACTAATCAAATGATCGTTATTCTTATAACACACCCACGATAAAGGGGTGCGAATACTGGATTCCTTGGATTCCCAAACTTACTAATTCTGATTTATCTAATGCATACAATAATGTTGTGGAGTTAAAAAAGATGTTCAGGAACTTATTTTTTACCTATATATAATTATATAAAAAACTAAATGATAAAAAAAACACATAACAGTTCATTTTTGTAAAGCAAAAAGCTACACACACAATGAGTCATTTACTTACTGCTCAACTTAAGTTAATTTCATACGCGGTGAATTGTTTTATTCGTTTCTGTGATAAATGAATTGATTAAACACAACTCTGTATTTCATATGTGGAATGCTAAAAAAAAATTAGACACAAAAACAGTAAAAGGGCAAATGTAATCATAAATACATAGATTTCCAAACACAACCACATAACGTTTTCAACGTTTAGACGCAAAGTTGGATTTGCACGTGCTAAGTATTTTATCCCTTGTGAATTAAAACTAAAAACAAAATAAAAAACTAAGTTACTATCTATGAATCGTTAGAAAAAGCGATATCAGAGTGTGCCATTAAATTTGTACAATCTGTTTGTAGTTGGTGCGAATAGAACAGTTTTTACACAATCAGGTCTTTTTGCCCATACCAGTAGGTAAGATGGTAAATTATAATTCGAAGTATATATATATATATATATATATGTATATATATATATAT